TTTATTAAGATCTATCTCATAGAACTTATGATAAGAAGAAAGAATGTTGATAACATCCTAAATTGAATACGCATGACCAGATTCTGAAAAGAAATCTTAAGAAGTTTCTAAGAAAGTTGACACTTGGATAATTTTATGCAGCAAATTATTTAGAATCTTATATGATCTTATGTTGATCTCGACTTGAGCTTGATAAGAACTTCTGAACAACACATTTCAATGTTTTCTAAGATTATGATAAGATTCTTTACCAGGTCATACGATAAAATCCTACGCAAATCTTAAGGAAACTTGAAAATTTTTGGTCACAAATTCGGATGAAGCCTCTATAGGATCATAAGTAACCTTTAAACTCACTCTTGAATAGATTGTATCAGACAACTAAAAGATTTTGACACGAGAACCCCAAGTTTTTCATAAGAGAAATATCAGAGGGAGAACGAAAGAAAGATACTCATGGAACAAGTAGAGAAAAAACATGTACAAGAACGAAGGAATATCGAGTTATGTGAACCATGCTCTAGCAGCACCATCCGCACTCTTTCTGGAGTTTCTCAAGAGTAGCTCAACGAACTAATGTGAAACATTCAGAACGAATAGCTTTGGAGATGTCGAGCAAAATTTGCCATAGACTGACAATTACTGAATTCTTTCTTCTATGAAATATAGAGGACGCAAAGATTAAAAGTGACTTCAAGTTTCCTTCCACCATTATTCCAAAAATAATTGGTTTCCATTGGAATTATTTTTTCCGATAATTACCACCGAATAGGCATTTGTGTCCCTTTTACTCTTCAAAAACTATAGAATTCTTCAAAAATAAGAACTCAAATACTGAGAGCATTGTAATAAAGTTTGGTTTTGTGGAACTTACTATGAAATATAGTGAATGCAAGTTTATGTCCAAAAACTTTCCGATACGCTCCTGTTCTTTTTACAGATATTTCTCACTTACAGATATTTCCATTTATAGACACTTTCTTTTACACAGATACATATGCTTTTCTGTGAAACACGATCTAAAAGGAGTGTTGAAGTGTATAAGGTAGAAATTTTCACTCCCTCCCATTCCCACAGATCTGACAGACAAGTAAGGTTCATCGACATTGAAAGTCGATTCACTGGGCCCTAGACTGACGGAATGATGACACAGATATCCTTATGTTTTTTAATAAAAATGAATTCTGCTCAATGATCAGTTTAGGACAAGTCATTGATATTTGCAAAATGTTGTATATTACATACTAAAGATATATTCAAACAGCGGCATAAAATATTGCAAGATCCCAATGAGTTTGATAAAGCACATGAGATAGTTAATTCTAAGGACTAGCAATGATTATTTATCCAATAGCACTGGTCATTTCTAATACGGATCTAGCTAGTGGTGACACAGACACACTCATTTAGCAGATAACAATGATCAACTGTACCATAGAAATGGCTGATTGTATCGTAGAAACTGAGTTGAGCCACAAGAACGGTTAATTATGCCAAAATAAATGGCCAGTTTTACCGTGACTCACGATACTTTGCACTATAGCAACAGTGACTTGTACCACGAGAACCAATTTTGTGGAACTCACATATGTTTTCGAAGAAAATAATAGTGAGTGTAAGTTTTAAGTCGAAGTTTTGGAGCTCCTCCTTCCCCTCCCTTTTACAGATACTTAGCAACGAGAGCTCTCCATTACAGACAACCATCCACTACAGACAACTCTCCATTACAGACAACCCTCCATTACAGACAACCCTTCATTACAGACATACTGCCCATTACAGACCTCAGTAACCGCGCGCAATAAGCTTCAGATTTATTTCACAATAAAAAAAAATAAATTGAACAGTATGAAAATATGAGCTCGACTGCTACACAATATTTCAATGCTTTCATTATTATTTGAAAAAAACTATTATATACTTGTTAAAGTTCTTAATAGTGTAATCGTTCACTTTTGTTAGAATTTAAACTTGTATGTTAAAAATCAAGGATGAAGAGTAATAATATATATTGATCTGTCATACCACTCTTTTAATCAACATGAGAAGCATGATTCGATCATTTTATCAGTTTGAAAAGTAAATAATATCATCATTTATGGATTGATTGAGATATACAGTAGTGTGGCAAGAGCTGCTAACGCATATAAACTTCATTATTGTAATAGTCTTATTCATGATATAGTCGATGATGAAAAATAATAATTTCAAGTTAAAAAAACAAAAAAAAATGGCTATTATCGAGTATATAGCAACAATTATAAATAAAATCGGGCGCTCTCGAACGAAAAAAGACATTTTCTGTTTCAAATGTAGAAATTAGAAAGATTCTTAGTGTGATTTTCGATTATCCTACAAAACAACTATAGTCTACGAGAGGCTTCTCATTTTACATATTGTGTATTAGTTTAATGAGGCTTGAGAGCATATGTGAGTTCCATATTTCAGCTCCAAAGGGACTGCGCTAACAAGCTTTTTGATTCCAGTTTTGAAGGAATGGATAAAACAATATTTCAGAAACGTGCTCCGAAATAGATAAATTTAAAAAATTCTCCTGCACTTAGGAAAAGCAGCTAGATCATGTTTCACATTTTAACACAACAGGGATTACGCTAACAGCTTTTATACTCAGCAGGAAGCACAAATAACCAAAGACCTGTAGGAATATTGTCTTCTAGTACATTACAATTTGTTTACCTGTGACTTTGACGCTTTACTACTCCTTTTTGTGTCTACAGTCTAAGTCCAATCAAGTGGCAGTGCTCTCTCATCTATTTCTGTATAATACAAGCGATCATTTTTATTTGAAGAAAAAAAAGAAAAATTGTTCAAGAAACCCATCCTGATTATAGAATTTTTTACTTACGTCACCCTGTCTATTTTCATTTTCTCTAGATGACTGAATAATAGCAAATGAATTATTCTGTGTAAGATTGTCATTTCCTCTTCCATTGAAGAAAACACAAACAGACTAAAAGAAGACTCTTCTAGAGTATTATGTATCTTCCAGAACGCCAGGGACCCTATTGATCAAAGTTTAACATCGGTTCCGTGAATGTCGTGATAAATAGCGACATGAATGGTCTGCAACGTACTAATATGTCTATAGCGACAGGACAAGAAATGATGAATATAAACGTTTTTGAACAAAAGCTATCGAGGGTCGACATGAAACGACAATAGTGGTCGTTTCAATTGAGCAAAAAACTTCAAATATATGGTCACATACTTTGCCACTGAGAAATAACGAAATGATTGCGAGCATGAAGTCAAAACCAAGCAAATAATAACTAACAAAAAAATTTGGAAATGCAAATGACTGACAGTAGCATGATAACAATTGACCAAAAAAAAAGGAGAGCGTCTTGACGATCAAAGAATTCAAAAAATATTCGAAATGAACAAGAGAGCAGGATGCATTTGGTTTGATCTATCCTCGTTTATGAAAGAAATTCTTGTTCCTTTCAAATATACTATGTAGTTCTAAGAGTAATTAATGTGAGTTCCACATGTAAGCCTAATCAGAGACTGTACTGACAAGCTTTTTCGTTATTTTTCGATTTATGCAGAAGGACAAGTGTATAAAACCACAAATCGGCTCAATAATCTGTTTACATCCGATTAATTTGGTAGTTGCATAACATGATAGACTGCAACGAGGTGAATGTTTTGATATCATTGCTAAAGTCTTTGAGTCAAATTTGATTTGTACTCTTCACTAGAATTTTATACTGTTTTTCAGATACGACTTAAAGCATATAATTCTTCTTCCAGTAAGTTAAGAAGACAAGAGTGAACGTAGGAGTGTGTAGGGCAATGATGTCCCTCACTTAATTGTTTTGAAATCATGACTGACTAACATTCAATCCATAACTCAATGGGTGAGCAAAGAAAAGCCATCTTTTTAATTTTTGATCTATGAATTCATTGCTTTGATCGTGTCATTTGCTGCCCAACTCACGGGTCATTCGGATTCAACCCATGAATTTCTAACAGTTGATCAAATGTACTAGATAAATAGATTTTCTCTCAAATCGTTCGTTTTTTAATATCATCTTGTCATTATTCTTCTCGATTCAATTTAATCGATATTTCCTATTGATATTTTCTTCATTGGATAAGTCAACAAATGCTCATTTCATTTTTCATAATAGCATAGAAAGTCTGTCATTCTGATTCTGATTTTTATCCCCATATAGAAAAGAGCATACGAAACTATGCTATATATACTGTTATTTACTCATATACATCAGCACGATAATAAAATAAGGTGTGCTACACTAGTATTCGCACTGAAAGAGGAACTATCCATTAACACATAAATATAATCGAAATGTTCCAATGACATTATATATTAGGACGCACCTGAACACATTTAGATCCGAACATAATTCGAGTGTAGTTGGATCTTTTGTTTTTTTTGAAATGATCAGCCACGATTCCGTCGAAAAACTTTATTATGCGAGTATTTTACTAGGCAAAAATACTTATTGTTAGCTCATCGAGTTAAATGACAAACATTAATTATCGATTGTGTGACTAACTCATGGGCTGAATTGAAGTTTTAGGATCGGTCAAAATTAACCTCTCCATTAAACCACTCTAATTCACAAATAATCCAATCTAACACGTACGACATCTCGGATGTCAGCATTGGGTAGTGATCTTGTTAGTATGGATAATGATAGTAGAAGTATCATTGAAATACATACTCACATCCTCCATTCACACACAAGTTCCCTCTGTTTGAATATTGAACTACCGACGATTAAGGCTAGCATTATGTGGGCAAATCGCTATTTACGTGTATTATACTTCTTCCTAAAGTTCTGCTTAATACGTAAAGTGCAAATTAGAATATGAGACACCTAAGAATAACTCATTGTAGAAGATTCCATTGTGTAGGCATCATGCTAAGAGTTGACAATGGCATTTTTGATACGCTTCGTGACAATCAACTAACTCATCAGGCTGACATTGACAAAGAATGGGAAACTTTAATGGTATCAGGTCCAATTGTCGTCAATTACATGGGCAACTTGATGGTACTTGCTAGCAAAGATGATTTTGCGTTTCAATCACCTCCTGGATATGTCTATCGCTTTATCAGGTGAGGTACAGGCATGTTTCTCTTACTTCAATGCAGCATTTTTCATAGATATCCAAATTCTTTTCGTGCTACTCTTGCTCAAGTATCATCTGATATGTATAACGCTCTTATGGGCGCTCATAATTCTATGGATCGAATTCAATTGGCTATTCAGCAGGTACCTACACACGTAAAAAACACAATGAAACTAATCACATCGGCGTCCAATAATATGCTAAAGTCGATGCTACCACGCACTCTGGAAAGCATTGGCCGTTTGGCCACTGAGAGTGCTGATGTAGCCAACTCAACTCTTCAGCGGTTCAATCTACTTCAAGAATTGCTCGCCGAAATTATCGAATTAAGTGCGAGCACACAATCGTTCAAGGAAACAGCGGTTAAAGTCATCAAAGAGCAAATGAAAAATGCAAGTCTTGAAGAACAACGTCTTCAAAATAGTTTGCAGAACATTGAGGCCACATATAACGATTCGAAAGATGCTCTCCAAGCTGCTCGTAAAAAGTATCATAATGCCATGCAGCTAGTCGATAGCTCAATGTCTCCTACTATCATTCATGGTGGATATGGATCAGATGGTAAAAGCATTTATAATGAAGCCATAAATCCATTATTTGAAGCCATAAAATCCATAGGGTGTGTATTACTTACATGCAATTCACCACCGCCCGTCATTGATAATACCAAATTTGAGAATGCCGTGATAGCTGCTGAACTAGCACTAAAAGATTTGCAGCTAGCCCAAGAGGCTTATAATCAAAATTTTAAACTACATCTTGCTGAACAAAATGAATTAGCCAGGATGATGAACAAAATGGCGATGCTTGATCTGGCTACATTAAGTACAGAAGAAATTGTTCGTCTATTGTTGGAGGCTACTGAACACATTAACTTGATCAGGGAGCAATGGGCGCGTATGATTCAATTCTTCTCGAAATTAGCTGCTCAAGCTTACAGCACTCAGCAGGTACGATTAAATTTTCATCATAATCCACTAGTCTATAACTGCTTAAATCGAAAAGCTTTTAGAGCAATCCTTACGTGACTCAGATGTGAAACATCATGGACGCCCCTTTATCCATAATAGATACATCTCGGCGTGTGCACCATAGTTCTACACAGAGCTGAAGACTAGCATATTGAAAAGTTTATAAAGCGTTGTAGACCATAACAAAATTGTTGCGACATAGCTGTCATGGTCTTTAGAGTGGGCTGGGAAATGGGGTGGTACACTTTCCTGCTATATATTACAATTCTTTTTAACAATTGTGTCTCATAAAATTTTGACCGGAGTTTATCTATTGATCATATTTAGTTATCATACTCATTCATTCTTATCAGCCATTAACGTATTAATGGCTGGATATTCTTACTACCGATTTGTAAGAGCAATAACAACTAAATAGGAATCGTAATGCATGCGTTTAAACATAAAAAATGAGCTTCATATAAACTTTTTATCGACGATGAAAAGTTTTCAAATGTTACCAACGGACTGAGCTTCTATAATACTCACAAGTAAAGCCTAGTTTTCAATCCTGAAAACTATAATGGAAACATAAATATTTGGTTTATGCATGCTCATACTTTGATTAGTTCGAAACAATCAACGAATCAAAATCGATTTTGTTTTTAAATTGGGCGATTTATTGTGTTGACAAATAGAATTTTCTTGATTTTCAAGTTAATAACACAGCTTCATTTATATTACATCAAATCCCATTTTTTCATGAAATATTTTAGGAAACACGACTGTTAACGAGTGTTGAAACGTATACAGAGGGAAAAGTGGTCTCCACTTCTCGCATGTTCCACCCACAGACTGTAGAAGACGTCTCGATCTGCTATATTTAGATAAAAGACTTCCATGAATCAGAGTTGGAACTCGTAGAGTTTTTCGTTACCGGTACCCATCTAAACGGTCAGACTGGATCGGACTGGTCAATATACTAAGGATGAGTCGTTTTTCTCACTTTTCTGACTTTATAACAGCGAAATGAAGCCCTCGATGATTTGTATCTATATCTTAATGACTACAGTAATGACGTCAGAGTCCTGTTTCACTATTATAGCTTTTTTCATTATTCATTTCCATAAGTTTTCTCTCTCTTGACATCAATTCGTGGATAGAAAATTTGATGAGACGGCAAATTCTATATTAGTGTTGTGCACTAATTGAATGTCCGTTAGGCATGGACATTATTAATTAACCATAGACTTAATCTAGCTTTGATGTTATATTTGCTTTGTTATCTTTTACATCCGTGTGAAATGTATGCAATAAATAGTAGGGACTACAAATAAATCTATGATAAATTACAATCCTAAATAATTTTTTTGATTTTGTTTTAATAACATAACCCCTATCAAAGTGAGTGGATAAAATGTATTAAGTGTACTATGATGAATTTTTACTTAATATTGGGTTGACACGAAATTTTTTGCGTTTTTTTAAAAAACTTTCTTTTTATTTTTTAACTTCAAGATTACAGCTAATTTTCAACAATATATGCTCTATTACTATCTATGACTTGTCACCAACGCTCTGGTAGAGAAAGGATCCCGCGTTCGTAGAAGTCCTGGGAGTTTTGGCCGAAGAAGTTGACGAGGTTCATTTTGGGATCGTTCTCGTCGTCGAATTTTTTCTCGCGTAGATAGTTAGACAGAGAACAGTACAAGTGGTAATCCGTACAAGCCAAGTCTGGAGAATAAGGTGGATGTGGAACCATAACCCATCCAAGCTCCAATAATTTTTCATGCGTTGATTTTGCAATGTGAGGTCTGGCATTGTCATGCAAAAAACAAATTCTATCCTGCTTCCCCTTGAGTTTTTCTGCAATTCGACCCAATTGTTGACTATAGAGCTCAGTAGTGATGGTGCAGCCAGTTAGAAGAAGTTCCCAATAAATAATCCCTTTTACTCCCCACCAAACGCTCAGTATAATCTTCTTTGGGTGAAGGTCATTTTTGGGCGTTAGTACACCTCTTTGTTCAGCTCCTAGCCACTGCCGCTTGCGCGTGTGGTTAACATACATCACCCACTTTTCATCGCCAGTAATAAGATTGTGAAGCCATTGGTAGTTGAGATGAGACGTCATTAATTCCATACAAGCATCAACCCTGTGTTGGAGCTGATGTGGTGACAATTCATATGGTATCCAAACTCCATATTTCCATGTTTTGCCTAATTCACCCAGATGTCTTTCCACTATAGTATGAAAGCACTAAAGTCGCTCTGCTAAACACCGTGTAGTCAATCTTGGATCTTCTTCGACAAGCTGCTTTAAGACATCCATATCCACCTCTAGTGGTCTTCTGGAATGAGGTAAATTGTCGAGTTCGAAGTTCTCGTTTTTGAACCGATTGAACCAATGTTGCGCTGTACGGATGGAGAGTGCATCCTTGCTCATCGTGCTGCATATGTTGCTTGTTGCTTCCGTTGCTTTGCTACCCAAACGAAATTCATGAAGCAGAAGCAGTCGGAGCTCTCTACGAGATATCTTTATTTCTAATTCAAGATCAACATCCATATCCATATTTTTGTTGTTCTTTTAAAGATATTCGTACCCCCTTTATATACCCTTAGTATAGAAACTTCTAGAACTTTCTTGACTGTTCTAGGAAACTTTTTAAAAAAAACGCAAAAAATTTCGTGCCAACCCAATAGAATAGCTTGATGCATGTTTCCATACAAATCAGTTTTCGACATTAGTAAAAAGTTTTTCATTTGTGAAAAACAGTGCTTTTATGGCCAGTTTTCCAAAAAAAATATGCAAAACATCAAAAAATCTTGGGACCGACCAGTAAACAAAAATTTGTACCTACCAGTCCGTAAGAAATCCTTGATTAAAGCCGGCCGGTCTTGATCAGCTGTATATCGTTACCGGTTACTACTCTACAATGATTAACAGTTTAAATAATTAATCATTCTACACTATTAATTTCATGCTTCAAAATCTTTAAAATAATGATGGAATGGCTGTTACGGTCTGTCATCGCTTAGAAGGGTGACAGACATGTCGAAATACTATTCCATTGGTCCTGACACGAATTATTGCCTGAAAGAGAGGGTTTTCATGTACTATTAAAGTAGTTCCGTCGTGTTTTATATTTTACTTTTACAGAAAAAGTTGACTAACGAAAAAAAGACAGCAAGTTTTTCCAAAACAGTTCATTCAAAAAAGGTTAAACCCGTACGGTCATTCACTAATGACATCCAGGTAAAAATCGCATTTTTGACCCGCTCTCCTCCTCGCTTCCAGATTTGTCTAGATTCATTGACCTCCTTCCCTCTGCTGGACGTCCAATATAAAAAAAAAAAAAAAAAACTTTCAGAAATAGCATTCTTGTTCAAGTATACGGCTTCTTTTTTTTATACGATAAAAGTTCATTAAATAAGTATATCAAAAATAAAAATGAATTTATGTATATCCAGAAAAAAAAGACAAAACACACATTTTATAAACAAAAAACAAAAATCTAACCTATTGAAAAATTTTTTGTTTTTTAAATTTGTTGTATTTTAATGAGCAGAAAATAGTAAAAAATTAAAAAAAGAAAAATACAAAAAATGAAGTTCAATATTAATAACATTCGACAATATAACTACATCAGTATTACTGTTGCATAAAATAGCTATCTCTTCATGTACCGTAATCTTCAATTATTTCAACACCATATTCATATTCAACTGAATCATTCGGTCCATTTCCTGTTTAAAAATGCTCTTCAAAAGGAGCTAAACTTCACACTTTTGCGAAAAGTTTATATGGAAAAAGGAAAATATTCGTAGTAAGTGTTTAGACCTAGGGGGAAACGGCGGATTTCGTACTCCCGGGATTCTCTGGATTCCCGTCGTACTCCCAGGATTCCCATCGTACTCCCGGGATTCCCATTGTACTCCCGAGATCCCCATTGTACTCCCGAGATTTCCATTGTACTCCCGGGATTTCCATTGTACTCCCAGGATTTCCGTTGTACTCCCGGGATTTCCATTGTACTCCCGGGATTTCCATTGTACTCCCAGGATTTCCGTTGTACTCCCGGAATTTCCATTGTACTCCCGGGATTTCCATTGTACTCTCAGAATTCCCATTGTACTCCCGGGATTTCCATTGTACTCCCAGAATTTTCAGTATATTTCTAGCAATCTTAAAGAGCCTGAAAATCTTCGGTAGTTTGCCAGGATTATACGTCGATACAATCATGAATTTTTTTCATCCAATATACTAAAAGAGAGAGCATGAAAGGCTGAAAAAAATCAGCTATTTGAGATGGCATATTGCATCTATTTGCAAGGATTATTTAGCCCAATATGAATGGAAATCGTCTAAATTTATGAGTCCATGACAGTCGATTTTTTGCAGTATATCTGCTGCGATTTTTTAAAATCAATTTAGTCCAGGCTGGAATTTTTATATGTTGTAGGGCTTTTGATTCTCTACAATTTAGTAAAAAAATATTGAAAAAAGCTTACCTTCGAGCTGATATAAGGCTTACAATGTTAGCGTTTTTAGGGAAATTTATGATTCTATAGTATAAGTCATATGAGACCGAACCGTTTCACTCGAATGTTTTGTTCTTAATTAGACAACATCATATATGAGTGAGAAGCGTATTTGGATCTACATTTTAATACTAAATATATAAGAATTATACAAGATTAGTGCCCTCACATAGAAGTACAAAATACTAAGAGAATTATGCGTAAATCTGTGTGTGATCGAGATGCTGATTAAAATTTGAATGTTCGATTCAATATGTTCATCTAAATTCGTGTTGTTTAGAACTCTTAAAAGTTAATTTTTAACATTTAAAGTAATTCTTTTTAAAAGTTAGTGAAGATAGATCATCTGATGACTAGGGGTGCTACTTTATTTTTATTTTCTTTATAACAAAGAATAAAGATAAAGAAATTAAAAAATCTTTATTCTTTATAAAATAATGATAAAGGAAATCTTTATATTTATAAAATAAAGATAAATAAAATCTTTGCTTTGTAAAATAAAGATAA